CGCGGCCATGACTTTTGTCGATTTTTCTAGGCCTTCAATTACTTTACTGTCATTTTTTACGAATAATTTCATATTTTCGCCTTGATTCTTCCAACTCTAATCTATGTTGAACATCTTTTTCGCTATTACATTGACAAAGTTCTTGTAATTGTTGAATACTTTGTTGATAACACAAACTTTGGAAACGTATCTTTTCATATTCTCTAGTTTGCTGTTGAAGTTGTTGTTTGATTTTCTCGTTCTCTTTAGATAGATTAATAGCCTTTTCTTGTTGTATTTGCCAGTTCCTTTTGATTTGAGCCAATGTTTTTTGGAAGTGATCACGTTCTTCACACAAAATTGCGATAGTATCAGCTTTGTTTTGAAGCTCTTTCACCAAAGGTAAGGGATCCTAATAAAGCATATACGTTAATGAATTGTTATTTTTATAATATGTTAAGATTAGCAACATTATCAGTATTTACTTTATTTGATAGATTTGAATTCAAACCAGGAGATGTTGGAGAGGCACATTTAGTACCATTGTTTGCCAGAGGCGAACCATTTTGCAAAGATTCTTCAAGAGATACTGGCGTTTGATGTTGAGAAGACAGATTTGGGTGCATTTTTTTATCACTGAAATCGGTGTTATTTTGATACATTAATGACACAGTTTGTGTTGATATATCTTGTGAACTTATCAGCGTCTGTGAAGAGCATGGTTGTATTTTAAAAGTGTCAACTGGTTGAGCAAAAGATCTTTGACATGAAAAATTATTATTTTCATCAGATGAGATGCGACTTTCTTCACCAATAAGTGATTCTTGTGTTCGATTTTTCTTACTGGCATGATAAATTATCCCCTTCTCACCAACAAGATTTTGAGATTGCAATTCTGTCTGAGTCCTTTTTAGTAGCTGCTGTGGATCATGGCTCACGCCATTAGGGTTAACGAATACATCTTGATTCATGATTAAAGATTCATTAGAACTATTACTGCATTTAAATGGTAGTTCATCTCCTAAAGCCAAAGCATCAGAACAACGCAGTTCTGATCCATTAGTTACAGTTGAATCTGATACAGAAGAATTTTCACGATGATATCTATCTTCTTTTTTGGTTTCAAGTCTTCTCTTGTTCCAGTCGTTGATTAAAGTTTGTGTGCAATTTTCTCCGGGTTCCTTTTATATATGAAATCCGTCAATAAATTGATTAATATTACATGTATATTGGTTTTTTTTTCCTAAAAAGCATAGTACATAATTTTAATCGCTTTAATACCCAAGTTGGAATCCAAGGATTTCCGCCCTTATCACTTCCTTCCCATTGAATTAAGTAATAAGAACTACCATCAATGACTCTTTCATCCAATATGTATAAAGCGGCCCAAAACTTTCTTTGTGTCATTTTACAAAATTAATCCTATAAAAAAAATTTAGAAAGAAGAAAACCAATTATCATTAAAAATTAAGTATTAAAGTTTTTTTTTCTATTTAACCAGTTGTGGTTTATACATAAAGTTATTAAAAAGAAGTAATAGTTGATAGATAACGTTGAAAAGTTAAAAAAATACGTAAACAGTGCCAAAATCTTAATAGCGATAACTTGAAATGACGGTAATGTGATACGGGGGTATATAAGGGTTAAATCATGATTTGCACATAGCAAATTAACAGGTTTTTAATGATCTAGATGATTACGTCAATATTTAGTCATTGAAAAAGAACTTACTTTTTTAAAATTCTTGTACTGGTTTTAAGAGTAAATGTACATTCGGTAAATGATTACAAAAATGTACAGTATTAAATTTTGCACGCAAATCTTAAAAGTTTGTGCACATCAAAAAAAAAATAAATAAATAAAAAAAGAAAAAAAAATTATGTGCATACATGCACATTGATTTATATGATTAATGATATACTCGCAAATATGATCAAACAAAAATTTATTTCCTTAATTAATACCTGGTACGCACTTTTTAAAAGAATGTTTGCGGATTAACTCTCTAAGATCTATACCATAAATTTATTCTATTTTGTTTAAAAAGCATTTCATATGTAATTACTTGTATAACAATTGCAATAAGTAAATAAGCTATTAACGAAATATCAAATTATTTTGATATTCACAATAGCAATCTTATTGTTTCAAATGTTAATAGGGAGCGATTATGCTGCAGTCTGGTAATTAATAGTGCTTAATAACTGTCTTATTCGACATTTATATTATTTAGTTTAACTGTTGGTCGGCGATTACAGTTCTAATTTTATAGTACGACCCTTCGATCCGGAAATATCCTTACCCAGATAGTGTTAAAACGATACCAAGTAGGTAACAAATAACTTAATTGAAAATAATCTGAGAAACTTGATTCTGATTACTATAATAATATATTATTAATAACTGTAATAATATATCAATACTAACTGTAATAATATATTATTAATAGATTATTTTAAAACCATTTTTTTAAAATAAAAAAATTTAATTAGTTAAATATATGGAAGCTTTTGCATAAAAAACCTTTTTATACTGTTTGACCCGTTAATATCAATGTCACTAATCATAGTTATTATCAACATTCTCATAAGTCATAATTCTTTGGAAAGTACGAAGAAACACCTAATATCACCTCTTGTTTATTATCAATCTCTGCATATATCAACCGAAATACCTAATCCCATATATAAACTAGGATAGTATTATTGAATTACGGTAAATGTAGCAGTTAATTATGACATGGCATAAATGCTGTATGTGTATTGTTGAAATTATGTAATGCTGAAAATACCCAATTGTCATAATGCTGTGATGCAGACTGAACCAACGAACCAAGCATAACCACTGAAGTCATTTAAGTAGGTAGGTACGTACGTAGGTGCGTACTACATACATACATACTTAATTATTTACAAACATATACTGTGCATGTAATTTATCATTATTTGACTGAAAATAAATAAAGGATAGTTTTAATTACCTGGTAGTAAAATTTCTATAAAATTTTTCGCAATAAATAATTTGAACGCTAATATTAATGTTCTAGCAATAAGTCCCACTTCAAAAATTTATGGAGTCACAGCCTCTGCAACCCAATGCTTTGTGTTACATACAAAGCCATGCACGCACGTACAGTACGTACTGCATTTCTATACATGGATGACTGATTTTTTTTTTGCTCTTGGCGTAAATCTAAATAGACGAAGTTATTTCGACAGCTTGAGTCGTAATAATTTAGTATATCAAAAAAATTTTGGGTTACCAAATGTTATATAATATCAAAAAATATTTTATACTGCATAAGTTATTTTAAAATATCAATTATAGGTTACTTAACTCGTTTGGATATTACCTTCGTTTTCATTGTCGGTATTGGCATTTAGTTTTTTAATATGTAGGTTAGACCCAATTTTTTACATATGTAACAAATAATGTTAATAACTACAATATATACATATAATTATAATAATAAAAATTTTAATACGTAGTATTGAATGTTTATATAATAAATGATAGCTATATTGATTAATTTCGACAGTCTATAATAATCTTGGCAGGTTGAATCATATGTAGAATGGTTAATCACTGATTATCAGTTGTGATCGGCCCGACGAATATCCGGTTGGACCACGTTGGCCACCCTACTTCGAAACTTGTTGATATTTTTGATTTGCAGTTTTATTTGTTAATTAATGTAACCAGAATTGTATTTATTGAATATAAAAGTTTCATAATATTTATATATTCAACCCTGGTCCTTAAACTAACGTGGTTTTATTTATTGTTTTCATTTCAACTGCTTGATAACTCATTTATTTGGTCGACAGCCTAAGAAATTAAATTCCTTCAGAATTCAATCTTCTTAAATCCTTGCAAAATAATTAAGTCAGTATTGGTGATATGGTAGAATTGTCCCAATGAATTTTATGGCATATGGCCAGTCACAGTAGGTGCGTAACTTTAAGTATTTGCATAACTTTAGTTTATGCTTTATCGGTTCCGCTCACTTCACCGACAAGTTTATTTTACAGACATTTACAGCTGTTTTCATTTTCTCGTTTCCCGGAATCTTTTCGGTTTCGCCCGGTAAAATTACCTAACTCTCCGGAAACTACATCGCTGTCTCCGGACTGAAGGTTCGAAAATAGCGATGTAGTTTCCAGAGA